TTAAAGAAAATAAGGTGAATATTGCCATTTTATAAGATCTATTGGTCTTCTCGAAAACCTACTTATAAATTTTAGTTTATTATACTTTCCAAATATTTTATCACCCAGAGTGAACTTTAATTTCGATCTCTCCTATATTTGCTAACACACTCATTTCCAATTAACCTTTGGAAAATACAAATATCAGTTCTTAAATCACCTTAAGCCACTTAAGGTGCCTCGAATTGTTATTTAGGAACAACGGATAGCCTCGCAAACTATTCACTTATAAAATATGCATTTTATCCACCATTTAATGTTCTGCTGTTGTAATTTTTAATTATTACTATTTTGTATAAATATTCCTTAGACGGTTTTCGCTTTTCATTAATAATGCTGAGCAAAAGGATTTCTAAATAACTTTTTACAGTCCTAGAGGTGGGACTGTTGGCTTGAGCATAAAAGTACTTGGCTACGGGCTATGCAAATCCAATGAATACATATAAAGCTTATGTCTGTCATTTCATAAAAATTGCTAGAGCGAGGAACATTCCCTCACAAATTTCACCGAACACTAAAGCGTGAACGAAGGCTGATATCAACCTTACAACCTAAATTTACATCTCAAGAAAGGTCTTTCACTTTATCAGGGCAAACACAGCAACGATCAGTCCTTAATGAATCACTTCCATTCAAAGTACTGTCTATAGCCAAGCGAGCGTCTCTCTATATTTAAGAAGAGAAGTAATTAAACAACCTTCCCGATCCAATCATTTTACATATATTTGAGAAGTTAGGAAAAAAGTTTAGGATTCTCAAGCTATGGGGGAAAATTATACAGCAGAAATCTTAAGAAAACATATACAAGTTGAATTGGCCCTTAAATGTCAAATGTTAATGGTTATCCAAGAAATTATTTCAAACCTTTTTTATAACCATATTCACGATCGAAAGAAAGCAATCGGCGAAGTTTTCTACAAAATTATACTTTACATGCTAATATGAGATTTTAGGTAAAACTTCTTCAAGAGCCTAAGTGATGCTTTGCCCAATGAACGATATGGTATTATTTAATTGTAGATATGAAGACCAAGATGGTGTGGCCTTATGTTTAGTCGCAGTCTCCTTTAGCTCTATAGTGTTAGTTCGACCTTGCTTCGCAACTTGGTCGGAGCGTCAGGGAGAGGTGCCATCGTGAGCACAGAGTTACGACTTATCAAAATAACAAGTGAAGTCAATCCCTTTGACCAATTTTCTGTTATACCGTTGCATCATCACTCCTCGCCTCTATTATTTATTTTGCCTTCTAGTGCCGCATCTTTTGTCTTAAGCCAACTGCATACGGCACATCCACTTTTTTAATGTCACCTTCGAACATTTTCATACATTATTTAATCCTTTAAACCTTCACGACGCTACCTTGATTGCAGGATATCAAAGCAGCAAGTTTTGTATTTTACGATTCCTTCAAAAGGAAATAACATCCCCTGACGATTGGATAGATTTAATTCCTTATCATTCACTATTGGCAAAGTGATACTGGTCAATTTATTATGTAGAAATGATGTATTTTACTCCATGTTTTGTGAAGAATCGCCTTGAATCTTCTGACGCTGGAAAATGATAAATATACGGGTTTTTTGCTTCTACGCTTAAATCAGTTTTGCAAAGCTTGCTACCAGACAGCCGCTTGTTTAAATGTTGCGAATACAACAATTTTGACCCAACTAGTAATTGATCATTTTCATTTATCAATGAGCAAGAAAAAATGGGCATGTTAAGTTACAACAAAGGAGAGATATAGCTAGATGAATAGAAGTAGCACTAGCACCAACCCAAAGCTGCCATTATCAATGAGGTAACTAGAAGCGATACCGTTTTTTCAGTGAACGCAAGCAAGTACCGAATAGGATCAGCATGAGCTTAGCAAATTGGTTGGCTGAACTGTCTACCGCCTCTACTCTGCATGGACATTCTTTTTTCTGCACGAATTCACAGCCAACCCCGTGGTGTCGACCACACGTGTTCAGCCTCATTTTAGCCATCGTCTGGCATAGGGCAACGAGACAGGTTTGGGGTCATGTGACACGCACGAAGGAACCGATTTCATCTCGATCCTTTCGACCGAGCTCGGAAGCTGTCCACTTTTTCGCCCATCGTCACAGCGGGAGTGTGTGCCAACCGAAGCGTGAAGCTGTGTTGGTGGGCCTCATGGACCTGGCCCAGAGGGCTTGAGAAATATGACGGGACCGGCGCGAAGTCGGCTTGGGGTAGGAATGAATTAACTTGGCGCGATATGACATTGTGTAGAGGGATTAAGGAAACAGAGAGATGTGTGATCTAGTCCTATCCTAACACCTGTCTTGCAGATGGTGTAGTACCGCTATGAGCGAATTGCATGTATTCGGGCTAAGTTCTATGCTCTCCTTCTATGTCTTGTCATCCTACTTTGCTTCTATTATAAGTGGCGCCAACTAGCATTAGAATTTCTTAGCTCAAGCTACGAACTCGTCAAAGAGACAAGTGAAGTCAATCCCTTGACAAACGTTCTGCCGAAAACGGTCGAGGGATTAACTTCACTTGTCTCTTTGACGAGTTCGTAGCTTGGTGCGGCGAATGGCAAAACTCACTGATGATGCCGACTACGATGACTTCATTTGTCTCTTTGACGAGTTCGTATCTTGGTGCGGAGAATGGCAAGGCTCACTGATGATGCCGACTACGAGGTTTGTCGAGGGATTGGCTTCACTTTTCTCTTTGACGAGTTCGTAGCTTGGTGCGGCGAATGGCAAAACTCACTGATGATGCCGACTACGATGCCGGCGAAAACGAGTTCGTAGCTTGGTGCGGCGAATGGCAAAACTCACTGATGATGCCGACTACGATGCCGGCGAAACGTGCGAGAATGTATCAAGTCCACTGTCTGATGATGGGAATCATGACAACTACTATGGCAGACGACTTCGGACTAGGTGCGTTCT